CAGTAAAGAAATCTGATTGGTTTATTTGCCCCCCCCCCCTCTGAAACCCCATTGGTTGAAACCACCATGTCAAGAAACCTTATTGGTCGAAATCCCGATCAAAAATAACCTTATAGGGCTAAGTTGCAGGCCAAAGAAATGTGATTGGCTGATTTGTTCCCCCCTCTGAAATCCCATTGGTTGAAACCGCAATGTCAAAAAACCTTATTGGTTGAAATCCCGACCAAAAATAACCTTACTGGGCCAAATTACAGAGTAAAGAAATCTGATTGGCTGATTTGCCCCCCTCTCTTTGAAATCTCATTGGTTGAAACCGCAATGTCAAAAAACCTTATTGGTCGAAATCCTGACCAAAAATAACCTTATTGGGCTTTTGTTGTAAGATGAGTGATATGAGAGGTCAAAAAAACATTTTTTCGTTCTGTGCGAACGAACGAAGTTACGAAGTTACGAACTTACGAACTTACGAAGTTACGAACATACGAACCTAACTCGGTGTATGACCCTCCTTTCAGTAGAGGGAACAACAAATCGTGGCTATAGATGAAAAACAACAAATAATGACATCAAGTTCATTTATTTCACAAACATGGTACGATGATCGATTATCATGGACACCAAGTGCTTCAAATAATATAAACGTAGTTATGCTACCGGTTAAAAGTTTATGGATACCAGATACAATAATATTGAATTCAGCAGATGCAAGTGGTTATCTCACAGTGAATGATTATAGTTTGGCATCTGTCGACTACACAGGTCAAGTGTATATGATATTACCAGCATTAACAATAAGAACAAGATGTAACTTCTTTGTTCAAAAGTTTCCATTTGATAATCAAATATGTAGCATCAATTTAACATCATGGAGTCAAGGGTCCAATAGAATAATATATACAGAAAATATTAGTGTAGTAATTGATATTAGTAAATATGATGAACATCCTTTATGGAAATTGAGTAGAACAGATATGATTGTAATTCAAGCAGATGATAGAGCACCATTTGAAGAGACTCATAATGATGTAATATCAATACAATTATATATACAAAGAAAAACATTATTTTTTATTATGAATGGTATATTTGCATGTTTGATTTTAAATTGTGTTACTTTGTTATCATATGCATTACCCTTTGGATCACAAATTGGTCTATGTAAGAAGATATTTTTTTCTTGAATATTAGGTAGAACTTATAAAATAGATATTCTATTTGCATTATAGGTATGACATGTTTTATGACATATTCTGTTTATTCACTAAGTTTCTCCAATCTATTTCCACAACAATCTGAATATTTAATGATGATCACATTGTACTTTTTGTTATCAATGTGTTGGACATTAATATCAATGACATGGTTTATCATATGTAATCATTTTACAATAAAAAATGAAATGCCAAAGCCACTTTATGCTTTTTGTGGACAGTTGCAAAAAGTATTTATTTGTTGCTTTCCACCATCACAACAAGATAACAAGATAGATAAAAATAAGGATGTTATTGTTGAGAATGCTGAAATTAAAAAGTCTGATGATAAAGAAACTACACAAGCAACGAACACTCAAAAAATGAAATGTATTTCTTGCCAGAAATTATTTGGTTCATGTCGTCAAAGACAAAGTCGAGTTGAAATCGTTAACGAGAAAGAGAATAATTCTGTTCAAAATGTTGAACCTATCAAAACAAACCCAACTGATGTTGAGCCAAATGAAATAGCAGTATCTGTACCTGTTAATGAACCAAACGCGGAAGCAAAGCCAAAATGCGATTTCTGCAACAGATGCGAGCCATGCCAAGCTGATTTTGATAAAGATAAAGCGAAAGGCAAAAGTAAAAAAGACATTGAAGCTAGATGCAACGCCTTAAATTATTTCGTCTTTATCTGTGTATTATTATTCATGTTTATTTCTAATATGGCTTTATGGCTCGCGATGTCGAAGTAATCGATTTTAACTTATTTCTTTGACTATAATATTTTTCTTCACTATTGATAAAATTATAACCAAATAATTGCACGCTTTTCAAGACACAATAAAATATAGTTTAATCACTCTTTAGAAACTTGTTCCGGCTTGTTTAGCCAAGGTCAGAAAGCAACAAATTTTTTACAATTTATAGCAATAAGAGCAGCTTTAAATTTCGCATTAAATCTTAGTTGAATAATTATTTTATTAATTTATTGATAAGATCATCTTATTGAGTGTACGTGTGTGAGTATTGTTGTGTGAGTTTGGATCCAATTGAAAAAGTATTTCAACACTCATATTCACACGATGGATCTAGTTAGCGCGATGAATGTCGTACTTGGACAGTTTAATTTATATCCTAAGAAACTTCCATAGACACGAAAGAAGTTTGTGTTTCTGCTCCGTTTTAAGAAATAATAGGAAGAATATATAAAAAAAGACTCTTTTTGCGTCTTTGTTGAAACTGGTTTTTACGAGAATAACTGATCGAAGGACAATTTTTTTTTCAATATATTCCATTCTAGAGACTTATGGCTTTTGTGATACCTTGTGTCGTACTTAGATGTGTCGCAAAGTACGACACATGCGGCACATTTTATTTTAGTGTGATAAAAAACAAAGAAAAGACAAAGAACTAATCAACATAGTAAGAAAAAAAGAGAAAAAAAATTAATATAGATCGTCAATTAACATCATTGCCTAAGGTTGATTGACACATGTTAGTGTACGATCAAGAACATGGTAAAAGAAATGGATTCCAAACATCATCCAGAAGTACACTTTTTATTTCATAATACAAATTAAAAAGATTGGAATCACTTAGTTCACTTTATTTGTTTAAAAATTTTTCTAAAACATATTCAAGAAAACTTGTTTGTTTCCTTTCAAATTTATATTTACTATTATTTCTAGGACAATAAAAAGTATCTTCGTACTGTTATTTTGTTTGATGAAAAACCATTAGTCATTCTATTTATTGTTTTTGTTTTGTAAAAGTAAATCTTACTCATCATTTTCCTTATAGTGTAGTTTCTATATCGGTGCCCGGGACATGAAGATATTGAACGATTGGTTGAAATGAAATCGATAGTATTTGAGCTCTTTGTTTCTATAGAATAGATTTTTTTTTTAAAGCTGCTAAAGATGGGGACATTGAATCATTGGTTCAAATTAAATCAAGAGTATTTGAGTTATTTGATTTTATAAAATAGGCTTTTTTCGATGCTCGTGATATGGGAGATTGAACGATTGGTTAAATGTTTAGTATTAGCAAATTCGTTGTTGAAAACTTGAAATTGAATGCTTTATGCTATTTAGAATAGCAACCGACCTGTTTTTCGACTAATTGAGTAATAATTGGACTATAAATGGATTGTTGATTATCTATTCGATAGACTGATTGTGAGAAAGTTTATCAATATAAGATTGTAGTTTAGAATTGGGAATGTTGCTCATTTTTTTTGTAAGAGATTCACATGAAAAAAAACAAATACATAATTTATATTAAAAACAAACAGACATAAAATGTGTTTCTTGATTGGATGTTTCATAGCAACGAACATCAATCGATTAATTATAAGGAGATGAATAAAATTCATAAAATTCTAATAGTCACTAAATAAGAATGGTTAAAAATGAAAATTTTCTCTATGCAAATATTTTAAAATAATTCAAAAATAAATCATAGAAGTTCGACCAATCATTTAGAATCGCTAAAATTACAAAAGTTGAATACAATAGTAAACAAACATCAATTATCATGTAACTCATACTATTAACATGAATTCAAAACTCAACTGAATTCCCATGTCAACTGTGACATTCTTCCAGAATCGATGAATTGAATGTCCATAAAGTTATCAGCATATTCGAGTATTTTTAAAAAATATTCGATTCAGGAGTTGTCCTGGTCAAATAAATAGCTGTCCTGAATGCAGAATTGAATTTCGGTTCGAATGGCCGTCTCAGATATCCAATAAAAAATCATATAGTGCCACAAAAAAAATTAAAATTACTTTTTATGCCCGAAAAATAGACCTAAAACGCGGATTTCAGCATAATATTCAAAATACTACTTGTCCCACTAAAACAAATGACTGTCCTTGATAGAGAATTAAATTCTACATCGATTGATAGCCTCTCATTATTTCCAAAAAATCAGTAAGACCCTCAAAAAAATCAAATACTTTTCAATGAAAGATCTCCAGAGACTACACACCAGAATGTTCGCAAAGATATATATTCAGATCGGATAAATCAGTGTTCCCGATAGAGAATTAAATTCTACATCGATTTATAGTCTCTCATTAGTTCCAAAAAATCAGTAAGACCCTCCAAAAAATCAAATACTTTTCAATGAAAGATCTCCAGAGACTACACACC